CAAGTCACCAACGTTGACTACGAAAAGGCCGTGTCAAGAAGATGTCCATGAGAATAATATTTTGCCTTCATCAATTTTGCGCAAAGTGAATTCGGATTTGTCAATAATCGCCATGCTGAATCCTGATTAAATAACCTAAGATCTCAAAAACTCATACCTCCTTGTCCTTTTCATCTTGTCAATTTGGATTAGGCTATACAAGGGTGACCTAATTTTTTTTTGATTGTCAATGTAGCCTTGTACTTAGTTGGATTTCATGTGGTAGTAGCATCCCCATTCCACTTCGTAGCTTGCATACAACTCAACGTCTTCTTGAACCATGCTACCTTTTTCAGCAACCGCCATACATTTTAGTTTGAGTTTGGAATTTCAGATTTAATGTTTTGCTATTTTGCGGCTTCAAGAAAACAGTATTATTGTATTTTACTAGTAAGAGCAAAGGATTGTAGCCTGTAGGTCCAACTAGTAAGAACTGTCAGCTTCAGACAAGCATTAGAACAAAATTATTTGTTTTGTATTCAAGGAAATAAAGACTAAAAGTATGTTCATATATCATGTATAGCCTTCCTTAAACTCTTCGATTTCATTACAACTATTGCACATCAAGCTTTTCTAAACTGAGTGTGCTGCCCTTTCGTAGCATCAATAGTGGCAGGTTCAGTTTTCACACACTTGAAAATCATTAAAAAAATGCTAAACCATGTTATCAGAGTTCACATTCTAATCACAGTGATAATATGTTTCAGTTTGGCCGATTACGGTGCTCCTGTGTATCTGGGTATTTTGGTTTATTAACTTTTGCCAATACGGAAATCCCTTTTGGAGCTCGGGCTCCAGTGAGGCCTCCAGATTCAGATTTGAAATTTCATTGAAATTCGTATTTTTACATTTCAAAAAATTCTGAAAAAAATCACAGATATACATGAAGGCATAATACACATGTGTGTAAATTTTCAGTTCAAAATACATTGAAATGAGGGTTGTGCAAAAAAGACAAATATGGGGCTGTTTAACACATGATACTATTCATCCTCCCAGGCCATGGATTTGTCTTTTTTGTACAGGTCGCAACTCAAGGTATTTCATCATGAATTTTTACACACATGTGAGTTACATCCTTACATACACGCATATTTTTTTCAGAATTTTTTGAACCATAAAAGTTTGAATTTGAATTTTTTAAAAATAAAGGCCTCCATGGAGCTCGGCCTCCAAAACGCCTTTCTCTTGCCAATAGGAGTATATACTTGTAGTAAGTAATAAATAACCTCCTCTTGTGAATAGATACATAATTCTTGTTGTTGAGTTGGGCCCTCTGTAACATTTTTATTTGCAAGGGAAAATTATTACCATGAAAGTGACAATGATTTTGTTTTACCGCTTGGCATCTGCTCTATAGATGCATTGCCAATGAATTCTTCTCTGCTTTATACATTTTTTCGGTGAGTTGCCATGTTTGTAAAATCCTGTCTTCTCACATAGTGGTCTCTAATGACTATTGATCCAATCTATTTGTAGATATGCTCGTGTTTGTTTTGCAGGATCCCAATTAAGATTTACCATGTTTGTTTGTAATTAAAAATTAGCTCACTATTCTGTGAGATCTATCTCCTGCATGATTCTTATAAAACATGACATTTGCCTAGACGATCTGATGCTGGTTTCCAAGTTTTAAGACATGTCATTTGCCCATCTACACCTCATCCAGTTTTATGTAGTATTTTCTTTGAGTGGTAATATGATCTTGACATACCCCGCATTTTTCACTTTATTTAGAAAGGAATGCATGTCTATTATTTTATTTTATTTTTGCGAAAGGAATGCACGTCTATTAGATGAGTGATTTCGGTGTGACTTGATTTAGTTAACTATCATCATGATGTTCTCCTAAATTGGAAGATTTGGTGCACAATAGACTTACTTTGCTATCTTGATGATGTTCTCCTGAAAGGAATGCCTATTTGGTAAACATTGTCAGGATCTTGTCTTCCCATTATATTTAAACCACGATATTTTTACTAATTGATTGGTTATATTACTCTAGATTGTGCGATTATATCCATCACATAATTTCCTTGATGTTTCATTACATATTTTCTTTCATTAATTCATACCAAGACACACTTTCATGTTCTATGCATACTTCTCAGTTTAATATTTGGACCAAAAATCACATTAAGTAAAAAAAACTATTCACCTATTCTTGTGGTTTTGTTCCCTCTTTTCATTAACCAACTCAAGGAACTGCTAAACAATAAATTTTGAATTCTATCCATAACTCGCCCCGAGTTGTACAAAGTTCAAACCTGAACCTGGAGTGAATAGTAGTATCATTTTGTTCTATTCGAAACTTATCCTTTTGTTTCTTGAGTTGTGTGTTGAATTTTGTTCTAAAACCTTGTACATGCATGGTATATATGTACATGCTGTGTGAGTATAGTTGATTTTTCTTGGAGAATATATATTCAAGATGATTTGGGTGCTGAACTAGCTGTACACCTCAAAGGTTTGTAATGTACCCCATATCCCCCCAGGGCAGTGAGGGGTTGGTCATTTACCGGCATTTTAACACGATTCTTCTTCAGTTATTCTGGTTAATTCGGCTCTGCGTACGTAGTACGTACAGAAAATGATGAAGCCAGAAAATATCCTGATACACATGAAAATGCGCGGGGAAGAGTAGCTGTAGCCTGTAGGCGTCAAGGCGCGCACGCATTGAAAGATGAGAAACCACCAAGCGCTTGGCCCGCACACAACGACGCAGCGGAGCATGCATAGAGCCATGTGAGCTCCAAAGGCTACAGCACACACGCCGCGCAGCTCGACGCCCTTTTGGTGTTCGCTGCCAGTAAAGCGAAGCCCATCTTGTGTGTGTCCTGTGCGCCGCTTCTTGCTAAGAAGTGGCAAACGAGACGTACGTGATGGCTGTGTATGTGTTGGTGCTGCGCAGTTACATCGATCCCAGCGTTTTATTTACAAGAGATTCCTCGCCTCCTCCTCTCCTCCGATCCCATCCCACTCCATCACAAGATTCGCATCCTCCTCCTCCTCCTCCTCCTCCCATCAGTGAGAGTGAGACTGAGACCAGCCGGTGGCCTCGTCCGCGCTCCATGGTGATTCTGCGCTCTCACAGGTAGGCGGTGCGGCGACCGGAAGGGAGCACCACCAGTTCGGTCTGCTTACTTTGACGTTTCGACCATCTTCTTGGTTGTTCATCGGTGTAATTTGTTGAGTAAATAGGCAATTTCTCGATTAAATTAATCCATGAGTAAATCACTAGCATGGTATTGACTAAGTTGATGACGTACTGACTCTGATCTAAACATGCACGTACTAAGCAAACAGTAGACAAATCTACACATACTGCTAGTACTGCTAATATGAAAATAATCAGGAGCGGGATAGACGAGTTATCGGCGACCTCGGCGGCGGCACGGTCGGCGTCGGTGGACATGGTGATGACGAAGGCGACGCGGACGTAGAGGAAGTAGACGATCGGAAGCGAGCAGTCGCGTAATCGCTGCCCAAAAACCTATTCGCCCCTCACCCCGTACAGGAACCAGAAGGGCGTGGTTTCGGAGACCTGCTCTCCCGTCGACCGTGTACGTGGCGGACGGGATGGAGTCACCGGCGGCAGCAGCAGCAAAGGAACGACGGTGGGCGTGCGCGTGAGCAGATGTGATCTGTTCGTGGCGGCTAGGGTTAGGAGACACCGCATACTTATAGGCGCAGCCGCGTGGAGAGACGTGGGCTCGACCCACGTCCGAGTCCGTGACAGCCCACGATCCGACGTCTCAGATCGTGGCCCAGCTGTCAGAAAACTCTCCGTTAGTGACTGGCAAAAATAAGCG